GGCAGGCGGACACTCTATCCACTGAGCCAAACCGGTTTCGGCTGGTAGCAGTGATTTTCCTGCAAAATCCCTCACAACATTCCTCATCCCTCCTTTGTGGCTGAAAAAATGAATTCAGTATATTTTCCCCTTTCATTCAAAGAAGTCGGTAAAAGTAAACTTAAATGGGAATGTGGCCAGAACTGGTTTGGCTAATTCGATAGAGCATCGACCTGCGGACTGAAGGGTCCCGGGTTCGATTCTGGTCAAGGGCATGTACTTTGGCTGCGGGCACATCCCTCGTAGGGGGTGTGCAGGAGGCAGCTGATGGATGTTTCTCTCTCATCGATGTTTCCAACTTTCTATCCCTCTCCCTTCTTCTCTGTAAAAAAAATCAATAAAATATATTTTTTTAAATAAATAAAAAATAAATGGGAATGTGGTACTTTGGAATAACTTTGTTATCCACTGAAGAAGCTGTCTACTTGCTCTTCAGCGTTCAGTTCTCATTACGCCAGGGAGAAAGCTTCTGTGAGGTGCCAGCAGCTCCTCAGACCTGTCCGCCTCCTCTTTGTCAAGGACCGTGGGTACAGGGCATCGCGTGGGCAGCTGGGAAGGTCCCAGGCTGTGGAATTTGAAGATCAGTGGTGACAGGAATAGGCGCTCCTGTTGCTCCTGCTGTGGGTCACTGGCCATCCTTTTTGGTGACAGAGAGTAACAGCAGATCCTTATCTGACCAATGAACGTGATCCTCAGCTCCGCTATTCATTATCTTCTTGACAATGAACTAGGAAGCGTGTGGCATGTTTGTTAGTCTTCAGAATTATTTTGAGAAGTTGGGCAAGTAAAGCTGCTTGAAATCAGTTTCTAGATCAAGATCATGTCTTGTTTTACTGGTTGGAGCACTTGACAAATTATTAATTTCTCAACAGAAGTATTTATGGTAGCTCTAATTACGCCTTTTCCCGGTTTAATAACTAACATTTACTGGCTGTGAGCCAGGCACGATTATAAGATTTTTACACACAATCAGATAATGAATGTACACAACAACCCAAAGAGATTGGTATTATTATCCCCATTTTACAGGTGAGAAAACTGAAAACAGAGAGGATCGATAGAAGTGGGATTTTTACAGACATTCTAAATCAAGTCTGTATTCTTTTTTTTTTCTTTTTTAAAATATATTTTTATTGATTTTTTACAGAGAGGAAGAGAGAGAGATAGGAAGCCAGAAACACTGATGAGATAGAAACATCAATCAGCTGCCTCCTGCAACTCCCTACTGGGGTTGTGCCCACAACCAAGTCACATGCCCTTGACTGGAATTGAACCTGGGACCTTTCAGTCTGCAGGCACACGCCCTATCCACTGAGCGAAACCGGTTTTGGCAAGTCTGTATTCTTAACTGTTATGCTATAGTTATTATTTAAAATTGTTTATTATTTCCACCAAAAACTTGTTTGCATAATCAGACACCAACCTTTAAAATTGAAATTAACTACAGTTATGTGAAAAAAGTGTTTCGGCTGAAATCCCTTTATTATTATTCTGTCTTCCTCCTCCTTCTTCCCAAAATAACTCCTATCCTCAGTTTAGACTATCATCCTATATTCCCATGTGTGTGTGTGTATGTGTGTGTGTGTGTGTGTGTGTGTGTGTGTGTGTAGTTTTGGTGTTTTAAAACACATGTTTATGCAGTTTTCAAATGTCCTAATTTAAAAGTAATAAATATATGCCCATCATAGATCATTCTAGCCTTTATAGAAATGTTTATGGGACAGAAGGGTAAAAGTGCTCCATAATCCTTGACTTAAGAAAGCCACTGTTCACTGTGAGGTGTATCGTTTTTCAACCCAGGCTGTTAAGTGGAATTTAGTAGAACCGAAAACTATCTGATCTATTTAACAAAAGAAGGCCTTCCCGAGGGAAGCCTAATTGGGGTATGTACTTAACACCATATCCTGTTCTGTACGGATAGTTCTTTATCTTGTTTAAAAAAAAAAAAAAAAAAAAAGGAAAAAGAAAAGGAAAAGAAAGGGCTGTCAACAAAGGTTACTGGACTTGAAGGGGGTTTTAACCAGGAAACCCATCATTGTTTATGCCACAGAGCAACAGACTTATGTATACGTGATCGCTGCACCTGATAGGAGCACCGGCTTGCACAAAGCAGCCAGCCCTGATGCGCAGCTGGTAAACTTGGAGCACGTATAGGACAATCAGAGGAAGTCTACATATAAACTTCTCCCTGCAAGGGAAGGTGGTTTTTCCATTTGCCTGTTTCTGAGCAATTTAACTTCCTAACTCGTGGTCCAAGTTGTTTCAGAGACTATGTAAACCATATGTTTGCCGAGCGCTGGAGACAAACATGGGGAAGTCTGATTAGCATCAGCTTCCCTCAGGGAAGAGGGCTTCTTTCCCAGCCCAGCTTTCCACTCACTGGGCAGGAGCGAGGAAGCAGGGGAGGGAGCTAGGGTCTGAAATAGCTGCATCTGGCCATAGATTCTCCCCCCTTCCTTCTGCTTAGGCACATAGTTTAACACATATGTTATCCTCTGTATCAGCATGAGAGCGATAGTGGGTGCTGACTGACATCAGGAGGCGGCATTTAAGTATTTAGCAGGCCTGGGGAGTGGAAATGCGGTTACTTTGCACCTCTAGGACAGTGTTTCCCAAACTTTTGACATATGTGTACCCCTTCTATAATTTTCGTAACGCTGAGTACCCCTCGTACTCATGAGAACGTAGAATTAGGCGCAGCTAAGCACGGTGCAGTGCATATCCCCACCAAACTCCGGTGCAACGCGTACCCCCACCAAACTTCCCGTACTCCTGGGGGTACCGTACTCCTGGGGGTACGTGTCCCACACTTTGGGAAACACTGCTCTAGGTGATTAAGTGTGTGTGCACGTGTGAGGGAGCATGAGCAGTGAACCAGCTAGCAGGAGTCAGATACTTTTCAGTATTTGTTTTATTGGGTTTGAATAATTGCTGATAAGGATAAAGAAGTTACTACTGTTGAATGAAAGCATGTTCTTTTTCTATTAAATGTATTAAAAGAGTAGTGAAGTTGTAGATGTTATTTATTATGAGATGATGAAGTGTACAGGTCTAGAAAAAATGATGATATTGGATGATTGCTATTGAATCAATTTTTTTTTTTAAAGGCAAACATTCCTACTTCCTATTTTGGACTCAGCAGTCAAAACAATGGGATAGTTCCCTTATAAGGTCTCTTCAATGACACAGATGTGCAGGTGTGTAGGAACTGTCACCTGGAGGTGAACTCTCAAAGCTCTGAATAAAGTTCATCACCCAGTCTGGATATTTGAGAGAACAACAAGCATAAACTGGGTCAGCAGTCACCCTTGCTCTTAAATGGTCTTGTAGTTCTTATCGCTGAAGAGAACAATTAAAAACATTCTATTATAGTTGATCTTCTTCTTCTGTCTCTAATTACTCTCAAAGACAAAGATTCAAAGCACCCATGAAACACAATAGCTGCTATTGTTTGTATTTAGGCAAACACTGGGGAAATTAGAAACTCTAAAACTTAAGAGGCAAAAGAAGATTTAGGTAGTTGATTCGTATTAGTTTACTTTAGTTTCCTGTAAACTCTTGGTCTTGGCTTCTAATGGGGACTAACCAACCAGTGAAACCACTTCATGCTAAAGACTTTTTGGAATGTAAGTCATCTTGAATAACTGCTTCATAGTATGTACATTTCCTTGCCTCCTATTTCTTTGGGAATGCAAAGAATACCTGTTCAGTGTCATTGTTTAAGGCACTACCTGAACACCCAGGCACACAACATTAGGCTGGTTGGAGTTTTCTGTCTGCAGCAAATTATTTTAACTGGAAATTGAGTGCCTTTGACTAACGGGGGTAGTCTTTTTTAACTTGGATCCAGAGTAACGAGGAGCTGCAGAGAGAGGGCCATGACAAGGAAGCCTCCCTTAATCTTGTTGTTTCTCTTGTTGGGGCTTTGCTTTTGCTTGCTTGCTTGTTTTATCGTGAGTCCTGGGCTATGAAATCCATGTCCAAGATACCTGAGACACATATTATAAACGTTTTCTGCTCTTCCAAAAACTGACTGTTTTGTTGCTGGTTAACATGGTCTTGTAAACACTCAATCTTAGTTGTGTGTAAAGTGTATCATCCTCTTTCCTCCTTTTAAGAAGTGTGAGCTTTGATAGCCTCATTTTGGTATGACCAATACTGTTGTATGTTCTGAGTATGGCTTTGCGGGTCTGTAGGCAGTTAGTTTCAGGAAAGCTTTGGGGATGATGTTGCCATGTGTGCTTCCAGTTAATACAGATTATTACCCTAGCATCAGAAGGCTTGTCAGAGGGCAGTATTTTGCTTTGATATAAAAGTATTTGCTGCTTTCTGAGGGAACACTCTACCAAGCTAAATTTTAGAAAAGATATAGTTTTTCAAGGAGAATACAAGGGAGTCACTGACAAGCAGGTGTCCAGCACTGAATAAAAGAAATTCTAAGAAATCTTGAGCAAATGGCTTGTTCTGAAATTCCTAGTATAAGAATTTTTCCTTTCTCTTCATTACCCTAAGTTCATCCATTTGTGTTTATGATTAAATAAGGGAGCCATTTGACATTGTTCCTAGACTAGACTTAAATGTATTGCATAGTTATCAATTTATTCAACAGTTATTTATTAAGCTCTCCCCTGTTTAACTGCAAACGTACATATTCACAGTAGAGGGAAAGCTGTATCTAAGCTGGGTTGGGGTTTTTCAAGGAGATGAGGGTATATGCAAGGAGTGATTATAACCAGGCACTGAGAAATCCAAGCATGAACCAGAAGACGTGAAGGATTTAAGGATGGGAGAAAGGTAGTAGTGTCAGTGGCTTGTAGAAATGGGTAGGTTGAAGAATTGTTGGGCTTGATTAGAAGAAGAGAGATAAGCAGTGGTGATGAGAGTCCTGTTTGACATCAGGATTACAGGTAGCAGTCTTATCCACTGAATTACTGACATGTTCTTTTCTCCTTTCCTTATAGTGAAGAAAGTTATAACGTCAATGATTATTCCTTAAGGGACCAGCTGTTGGTGGAATCTTGTGACCATGAAGAGCTTCCTTTGTCTCCAGGGAAGAACAGTTCGACGATGCTTTATTCAAGACAGAACTCTGCCAGTCACCTCTTCACCCTGACTATCCTTAGTAACCACGCGAATGAGAAAGTGGAAATGCTGCTAGGGGCTGAGACACAGTGAGTACGGGTGGGGAGAGGGTTTCAGAGCATCTGGTATCCGTCTTCCCTGCCTCATTGCCCTGGAACTTCCTGAGACTAAGGAGGGGACTTGAGTGGGATGTGCTGGGCTGTGCAGGTGACCAGCAGATGACACCTTCCCAAGGCTGAGGAGGGCGTTCCTTCAGCTTAAAAAGTGATGCAACAGGTGGTGTGAGACCTCCTTTGGGCGCCTCTCTCCTAAGGAGAGAGTGTAATAATGTCTGAGCTTTAGATTTTTATAAGACTGGAAGGATAAAGGAAAAAAAAACGTCTTAAACACTATGGAGGTTAGTGTGTGTCCAGATGTTCTGGAGCATTCTCAGAAACTGGAGACGTCCTTTCATCACTTGCCGTTAGTAATGGCGAAAGTGTGTGGGATTTGCTTTGTGTTTCCCTCTTCTCTGTGTTTATAAGGAGTGTTTGTTTTGTATCCAGGCCTTGCCAACACCGCAGAGCTCTTCCCCGCTGTCTGCTTTGTAATTGATGTCATGTCCACCACTGTTTCTGGGATTCCTGGAAGAGAGTAGGAAGTAAACGGACGTGTGCAATTCTTGTTGCACTGAGCCCGGATCTTTTGCTGGGACATTCCGTAGCATTACTCTCCCCCCCCACCCACCTGCCTTTTGATTGTACCAAGGGCTGAATGGATATTCATTTCCTCAGTCAGAAATATTCTCAGAATATCTAGTTGTGTCACCAGCAAACTCATGCGTCTGACTCATGTTTGTAGTTCTTTAATTAATAGGAAGAGAACAATCCAGAAAGGGCATGGGGCAGATGTCTCCTTGGGTACAAAGAGAGTGACTCCCTCACTTTACCCCCCACCAGCAACTCAGTAACAGTTCAAAAGTAAATAACTAGACAAAGACTTTTAGCACACGGATGTGGTTTTGAAGGAAAATATATTACTGCCATATGCACTTTCCTTTAAAAACAATAGGCTATTTAAAAGTCTAGCAACTTGACTCTGGGCTCTGTTCGTTGAAACATCATCTGTATACCAAAAGGTTGAGGGGTTCAATTCCAGGTCAGGGCACATATGTAGGTTGCAGGTTCAATCCCCAGTAACCAATACATGTTTCTCTCTCACATCTATGTTTCTCCCTTTCTCCCTTCCTCTCTCTCTAAAATCAATAAACATACCCTAAAAAAAAAAAAGATCTGGTAAATTGGTATATGCCATAATTGGAAATGGTGCAGGTCATCTCTGTGTTACTTGATTTTGAGCAATCTTAAGTTTGGGTCTATGTATCATGTTTTCTTTGTTTCTAAGATTTGCAAAATGTATAGGAGTGTATACATTTTTTACGTTTTTCCTCTTTTGTACATGGTTGATGTCGTTCCTTAGCAATCCCTGTTGAGAAAACAAGGTTTTCACCACCGCGCTGGCCTTGAGTAATTGTAGAACCCAGGCAGGTCACATGTATCCTTTGGCTACTAATTCTTCAATTTGAAAAAGAATAGGGTTCATGCTGAAACCGGTTTGGCTCAGCGGATAGAGTGTCGGCCTGCAGACTGAAAGGTCCCAGGTTCGATTCCGATCAAGGGCATGTACCTTGATTGTGGACACGTCCCCAGTAGGGGGCCATGCAGGAGGCAGCTGATCGATGATTCTCTCATAGATGTTTCTAACTCTCTATCCCTCTCTCTTCCTTTCTGTAAAAAATCAATAAAAATATATTTTTAAAAATGCTGAATTTATGTCTCTGAAAAATTATTTTCTGCTTAAAACTACTTTTTGTTGTTGTTGTTTCTTTGCCCATGTTTTTCCCTCTTCCTGTAATGTCCTCTTCAGACCTCCTTGAATTGCCACATGCATCCCCTCTCAAGGCTCAGGACAAGTCTTCCCTCTCTGAAGACATCTGTCAGGGCTGCTCATGGTAATGTCGCTGTCTGTGCCACTCTTGATAATTCATTTTTCTCTTTAGTTTTCTTTTTTTAAAATATACTGCCATATCCGTGACTGGTTTGGCTCAGTGAATAGAGCATCAGTCTGCGAACTGAAGGATCCTGTGTTTGATTCCAATCAAGGGCATGTACCTTGGTTGTGGGCACATCCCCAGTAGGGGGCCGTGCAGGAGGCAGCTGATTGATGACTTTCTCTCATCAATGCTTCTAACTCTCTATCCCTCTCCCTTCCTCTCTTTAGAAAATCAATAAAGTATATTGTTTAAATATATATATATATATATATATATATATATATATATATATATATATTGCTATAGATTTCAGAGAGAAAGGGATAAGAAGAGAAAGATAGAAACATCAATGATGAAAGGGAATTGTTGATTGGCTACCTCCTGCACGCCCCCTGCTGGGGATGGAGCCTGCAACCCGGACATGTGCCCTGACTGGGAACCTAACCATGACCTCCTAGTTCATAAGTTGACACTTAACCACTGAGCCACAGTGACTGGGCTCCTTTGTTCTCTGTTTTGCCCATCTTCTACCCCTAAATCTCTCCTTCCTATTACAGCTGAACTTCTTGAGAGTGTAGTCTTCATTTCCCCCTGTTAATTCAGGGTTTTAATGGGCATCCTTTCAAGAGCTACACTAAGGGCTGGGATGTAGCCATGGACAGTAGAGACCAGATCCCTGCCCTTTGGGCTTCTGTTCCTGTGAGCAGCTTACATCTGTGTTCTTCCCGTCCTCCAGGAGGGTGACTGGATGGCAGTGAACTTTGGGCAGTCAGCTTGGGCAAGCGGCCTACGATGAGCTGGGGCAGTGGGAAAGTATTTCTTTTTGATCCAATTAAAAGTCAACGTGAATGCAGTGAGGACTGCAAAGCCAGGCGATGGGATTGGGAGTGAATGTTGAGTGCTGGGTCATGTGCTCTAGGTTAGATGGTGCAGGAAGACTTTTCTAAGGTGACATTTGAACTGAGAGCTCTGAGAGGCAAGAAGAAGTTAACCCTTAGGAAAAATGCAGAGCTAGAATGTTCTAGGCAAAGGAAACGGTGAGTGCAAAAACCCCTAAGGAAACGAGTTTGCTGTTGTCAAACTTGGCTTGAACATAATGAATGCAGATAGATAAGAATAAACTGGAGATTGGGTGGGTGGTCAAGAGGCCGGCAGAGGCCAGAGCGTTTCAGAGCAGAGCTATTCCAGGGCATTCTGTGGGCTTTAATCTCCAAACATTACCAACCTGGCATGAGGATAGAGGTTCAAAATGTATAGTAATTTGACATTTCTTTAGCATCAAAACATGTAATTATTTTAATAGTAATTCTTTTTTAACTGGATTTCTGAAAACACTTGGTTCACAATGGATTGGATGGTGAGGACCATTTCTTCACCACAGATATTTTGAGAAACACTAATCTAGAGCCTCAAAAGCCATGGTAGGGGGATCCCTGGGAGACTGGAGGGGAGGTAGAAATTTCTATGGGGAGAGCAACTCGGGTCATTTGGAGGGGTCAAGGGGCTTAGGAGTGGTGCTCTGGGCCACAGTGTATAAAGGGAGATGGAAATATTACATTTAAGAGACAGAGACAACAGGACTGACTTACTATGAGTTGGATGGCCCTGCGTGAAAGAGAGGGGTCAGTGATGCTTTGGATTTTTGGTACTTTAGATGGAGTTACCCCTTAACCATCTTCTATATGGCTTCCTCTGCCACCCTGCTAAGGTCGCCCCATCCAAAATTAGCCATGGCTTCCTAGTTATCACACCCAGTCAGTCTTTTCTCTTTACCTCTAAGGCCATTGAATGTTGACCATCAGACTAACCTCTTTTGGAGATTCTCTCTCAAAGAATCTCATTTTAGTTTTATGTCCACATCCTTCCATCCCTCTTCGCTTTCCCTTCAGAAATGCAAACTGTCTGAAGCCATGCATCACCACTACCCGCTACTTTCCCCAGAATGCACATGTCTTGACCCGTTTTTAGTTACCCGGTCTGGAGACCTGGTGTCATTTCTGATGCTCCCAACCTGCACAGATCCATCACCGGCCAGCCCTTCCTGTACTAAGGTCTCCTGCAGCTTTCCACGTGCTTCCACTCCATTGTCTTCTCCTAGAACACCCCACAGGCCACTTATCTTCTGAACCACCTAACCATCTTCTCGCTAATCCATTCTGCATGGAGTTATGACTAAATTCCACATTCAGCTCTGGTTTTGCCCTTGTCTCACTTTGTACATAGCAAGTTCCTGATAAATATTTTTGGAATTGACCCACAATGAATACAGTTAGCTTTTCTTTATCCAAAGGAAGGCAGAGTAGTATCCACATGTAACTACTGCCTCTCTCTCTCAATCTCTGTTCAGGGTCCTCCTTTTGGTGCTGGAGGAAATTTCCTTTATATTCCATGTGTTTTACAATGTTTGCTCATTAAGGAGATGGTGAAACTTTATTCATTTATTTTTTAGGATGTACATCTAGGCCCATGTATACTGCTATATCAGTTTCCCTGTGAAAGATCTTGAGTCATTGTCTTGTTAATGAGACAGTAGTCTGTGAAAATTACAGAAGCTCACCCTTTATGAAAGGACAAAAGAAGCATGTTTTACTACTGTCCTCTCTTTTCCCTCTGGGCCTTTCAAGGGGAATGTGGGAGCCAGAGAGCCCCCTTTGTCTGCCTTCATTCAAATGAAGCCCAGACAGCTGCTGCTGGCACAGACCAGGGGCCGTGGCAAGTGGCGTCCTTGGCATCCTTTGTCCGCGGTGGAATTTGGATGGCATCTGGGCCTAGTGTACATAGTGACGGGGTGCCAGGAGGTACTCAGTGGTGGACACAAACTTGCTTCACCCATTATTTTTAAAGATACGATATAATCATCTTTCACGGTCATTAAAGAACCTTCTCACCATTTCCCTCTCGCAAGAACTGGGAGCCTCATGGATGGGATTGGTCCTGTTAGCTGTGCAGACAGCCAACTCCTGGGCCTGCCGACAAAGGCGCATGGGTTGCGGGGAGTCTTTTGAGCTACTCCCGCTTATGTTAATGATTTAATTAACCCCAGGAAGTAAATGGTAT